ATACTAAATCTATACTGACGAGCTGCGCAAAACCACGATCATATTTTGTGCGGCTTGTCAGTGAACAACGACTCTGTGTAGTTAATGCTGCTCAATGTGAAACCACGCACGTGATGGAGATTTGCCGCTGATTACAGAACCGGCTTTTCTGACATGATGCGCTTTAAATATCGCATGCGATTTATCGTGCAGCCCTAATTAATACTGCAAAATACGCTCGATGGTACAGTCATTGCCCTTGCCCTCCAGAATAAAAGAGAACATCCCAATCAAGTGAAGGGATTTGTGGAAACTCTGGTTCCTAATTATTGTGATCCAACATTTGCCTCGCATTTCAGGATGAAAAGACAAACATTTCAGCCAGAAGACATTGCAATTACTAAATGATATTTAGACAGACTTAAAGAAGTTACAGATCTAAACTTGTGCCCTTATTATTTCAGTTATTTTGCCTTTAATGTAAATAAACATGTGCAAACAATATACTTGCTCTTGTGAATTTATTTTGATGTTAATTACATTGTGCGAGCTGCATCTTTAATACCGCGTGGTTTACATACATAGTGTTGCTGATTGGGCTGACATGTTTGACACACCCACCAAACAAGAGAAAACGCATCTCAAACCCCGTTGCACACCGTTTCCAGGAAACATGTCGTTCAAACCGGAAACCGTAGCAAAACGTTGCGCACCGGTTTGAGCTTGAACTTGCCCCAGGTAGGCCTGAAGTTTGCTATCAGTAAAACGTGACAGTTAAGGTCAGGGGCGCCGCAAAGGGTGGCGGGGGGGATCGGACGATTCTAAGGGCCTACGCACTTTTGGGGCCCCCAGATATCTTTTTTATTAGTAGTAACAGCAGTGTTGGGAAGGTTACTTTGGAAATGTAATAGGTTACAGATTACAAGCTACCCTACTTAAAATGTAATAAGTAGTGTAACTTTTCAATTATTTTATTAATGTAACTGATTACATTTGATTACTTTTTGATTACTTTTCTAAATTTCTAATGTTTTCAACTATTAATAATTTTCAAACATGTAAACCCGGCAGGGTTAAACTTACAATATGTGCTCAACACTGATAACTGTCAGACTTTCGAAATAAATTAAGATTATAATATTTAAATTTTAAAAGAGACATTGGATGCAAAGTATCTTACTTTGCATATAAATGTGTCTTAGCAGTGTGTGGACACAACCACCCTACAATGATACAAATTCACTCCTTTTTTTTAATCCCCCAAAAACCTAAACAGGATAAGTCTCAATTATCAAGCCATTTTGATTTTGGAGTGAACCTTCAATACCCCGACTGAGGTGAGACCCTTGAGCAAGCCACCAAACCCCCAACTTTGTTGGTGATCAAATCTTTGCATAGCTATGACAGGAAACACTGGAATCTAACAATGCCTTGAAAAAAAACAGTTAACCTTAAAAAAAATAAAGCATATACATAAAGCCTATCGGATAAGCATGTTACAAACTTCTGAAACATTGGTGTTTCAATTTATGAAAGGACTCAATTAAATCTGTATGTGGGAGTGTGTGTGAAAAAATCAGATGTCCGACTGAGGTGAGACCCTTGAGCAAGCCACCAAACCCCCAACTTTGTTGGTGTGTGTTCACGGTGTGTGTGTTCACTGCTGTGTGTGCGCACTTGGATTAGAGATGTCTTCGAATTCGATGGGGGGGCAAACCGAGCCAGACGGTTTGGTCAGTCGCACTTTTAAACACATTTTAGTTTCGCTATAGAAAATCTACAAATTCACACTCTGATTACATAGAGCAGCAGCAGGAAACATTGTTCATCAGGAATCGGGAAAGGTCCTCAAGTCAGGATTCAAACATGGGACACCCGAAGCGCAGTGGCACTGTATGTCGGCACGCTGCCCGCAAGGCAATCAGTGCCAATACTCTTTTTGTTTTTTACGATTCTTTGCGAATCGCGTTTGCTCTTCCACAGAAGAGAGGGGAAAAGCAGAGCTCATTAGCATGTAAAGAGAAATGCACCGAAACGAGTCGCTGTGAACAGAGCTGTTTTTGACAAGGTTTATACGAAACACTGAGACCATTTCAAGAATACCCTAGAGAATCATACCAACTTGTGGAAAATGGGCATCCGATGTCCCCTTTGAAGCACAGCCGCCACAAAATCAGACTAACTTTAAAATCATTCTGAGGTTAAATACATATTTAAAATCATAACAAGAAATAGTTTAATAGCTATGATACTGTTTTTGAAATCAAATCTTTGCATAGCTATGACAGGAAACACTGGAATCTAACAATGCCTTGAAAAAAAACAGTTAACCTTAAAAAAAATAAAGCATATACATAAAGCCTATCGGATAAGCATGTTACAAACTTCTGAAACATTGGTGTTTCAATTTATGAAAGGACTCAATTAAATCTGTATGTGGGAGTGTGTGTGAAAAAAATCAGATGTAACCCCCTTTGTAATCCTTAACATTTTCATAAGTAACTGTAATTTAATTACAAAGTTTTTCTTAGTTACTGTAACTGATTACAATTACTTTTATTTTGTAATTAAATTACGTAATTCCGTTACATGTAACTAGTTACTCCCCAACACTGAGTAACAGTAGTAGTAGTAATGTAATAGAAATTATAAATGTATCTACCAAAGAGTTAAATAAAACAAAATTATGGCTTATTTCTGCATTTCCAGCAAAATTATCTCCCCCCATTCACTGCATGGTGTCGTCCCGTCCTACGTAGCCAAGAGTCACTGAGTGAGATCAGATGGTAAACTGTCAAATTAGAGATGTCTTCGAATTCGATGGGGGGGCAAACCGAGCCAGACGGTTTGGTCAGTCGCACTTTTAAACACATTTTAGTTTCGCTATAGAAAATCTACAAATTCACACTCTGATTACATAGAGCAGCAGCAGGAAGCACCTGAGGTTGTCATGGCAAAATTTTGAAAATAATACACAATAAACATCTTAAAGGAGACTTTTATTAAGCAAATCAAGGAGTGAATTACTCATCCACTGTTTTAAAAAAAAAAGCGTTGATCCAAAAACAATCGATTAAATACACAAAGGCAATTATAATTTTTTTTTACCATTTTCTCTTCTTCCGCCATGATGATTCCGTTTTCATTAACTTTTGACTGAGCTCTCGTAATTATTTTAAATTATTGTAAAACACGGTGGAACTCCGTGTGCGAGATGTTTGATTGGCTGGTGGAGCAGCGGTGGGCTGTTGTTGCTGTGCTGTCGGACCGAACCGTGACCAAGCTTCAAGATGCCAGGATCCTGGAGTTGAAGGATGAGTACTGGCAGCTGATGGAGGACACACAGCCTGTGCCGTTAACTTCTTACCGTGTCTTCCGCCATTATTAGTTTACATGAACTCCGCCCACTTCCGGCCTCAGACTGTTAGTCTGGCGCTGTTGTCCTCAGACTGTCATGACGTATGGTTCTGCAGTTGGTTGTTATTGGTCTGTGCTGAAACGCTGCCGTCAATCAACTAGCGTGGGAGGGGCCTGCCTGTGTGACGTCACACAGACAGGCATCGGAGATCGGCTCGATTTGAGAAAGGGGAAAACATTTAACCAAATTTAAAAAAAAAAACACTGGGTGGATTTTTATCATACACTTTTAAAAATAAAGGTGCTTCACGATGCCATAGAAGAACCTTTTTGTCTAAATGGTTCCATAAAGAACCTTCAACATCTGAAGAACCTTTCTGTTTCACAAAAGGTTCCTTGTGGCGAAATAAGGTTCTTCAGATAAATGATAGAACAGATTAATTAGGAAAAATAAATTGAACAATGTACTTCTGTTCAATTGTAGTCAGGTTATGAACATTTTAAAATATAATATAGTCTAATTACAAGGACTTAATCTTTGGAATCTGATTATATAATCCAGACTACTGACAATCAGCACTGTCAGCAGGTGTATATACCATCATGCAATTATACTAGTCATCATCCTTTGATATTTTGCACTGCACAATAATTATGGTAAAACCAGACATCTTTTAGTAAAGTATTTGAAAAACATAACAACAAAACAAAATGTATAGGGTATGATCCCAGAATACTGTGGGTGTTTTGATTGAAACATCTGTTATTAGTTTATATGATTTACACACCAAGCCACATCTTTGTTTCATCAAACAAAAGGTTTAGCATGAAACACGAGTTCAGAAGATTACAAGGTAACAGGAATAAATAATAAAAAATAAAAGGATGTTCACAGATAAATCATTTATAATAAATAATCCATAACAAATAACAATTGTAATTTTAATTTCATGACTTTATTAATAGAAAACATGTACAACTCTATTGAAACATGCATGTACAGTAAGTTCTGTGACAATACCTGGAGGATGTAGACAAGACAGGTCATGAGATCAACGGAGGACTGTAGAGGGAGCAACTGCAGATCAGTGTGCTATTATTGGTAACACTTTACTTTAGGGACCCATTATCACTATTAACTAGTTGCTTATTAACATGCATATTTTTAGCATGTTGGCCGTTTATTAGTACTTATAAAGCACATATTAATGCCTTATTCTGTGTGACCATATTCTAGATCTCTTAATCCGATCCCATACCTAAACTTAACTACCTTACTATTAAAGGGGTCATATGATGCTTTTTTAAAGATCATTATTTGGTGTATTTGGTGTAACAGTTATTATTATTATTATTATTATTGAGCATTGTTGTCTGTTTGGGATTCCCAGTAACATGAATATAATCTGTTAGTGAAGATTTATTATGACTATCTGGTCTCATGATAAAGAAAACTGTGGGTTTCATCAAAATATTTCCAAAGTCCAAAGATTACAGAAAACATCAATGCACATATATGTATTTCTCAAAATAAAACAAATATTACAAAACATTTAAAAAATGAGTCCACAGACATTTCAATGGCATACTTACTTTTTGAGTGACAGCTAGGAATTGTACAATATTTACCATCCTACAAGTCTTCATTAACATGGATTTATATTAATTCCGTCACATGCTCCAGATGACAGACTGGACAAAACAAGAGGTATACCACATCCTCTACTTTAAATCAAACAAAACCTGCTTAATGAACAAAACCGAAGTTGACAACAGTGTATTCCAAACACATCAGATATCTGAAAAAGATGCATGGTTATGTCCATTACCCCCAAAACAATACTAATAGAGAGTGTTTTCAAATAGAAGGAGAGTCACGAGAGAGGGACTGGAGCTCAGTGGAAGAGGATTTTTTTGTGTTTGCTGTTGGGAATTTGCTCTCGGCTCTTCAATCTCCTGACAGCTTCTCTCATGTGTTTGGGCTGCAGGGGTGGCGTGTCTCCCCACTTCTCACACACATCGAGAGCTGAAGAGAGAGAGGAAAAAACAAACACATTTATGGAAACAATTAATGAGCCACACGGTTTTAGCTGAATCACATTTCAGTGTCTAACCAACCTTCCTCAACAATCTCCCCAGCAAACACCTTCGCAATTCCCGACATGGCGATGACCACATTCTGAGAGACAGAAGATCCTGTGATGGACTGAATCAGCTGGAAAACAGAAACAATCCATTTCAAAAACTTTCAACCTCTTCCATATATATTTTTTCATGTTATAATTCAAACACAAAGCGTGACACTTAGGGTTCCCATTAGCATTTCTATGATCATTTGGAAGGATCCTAATTGGAATCTTATAATAAACGTTGCATTCCTGTTTAACATTTAACTCTACATCAGTATAATATCATGTTTTTTTTCTTGAAATGTCCAGTAGCAAGACACGTTATCAGAGCCCTGCTTGTATTGATGAGTCCCAATGAGTATGCAACGATCTCAAAGTATTAATGAACAATTTAATACAATCTTAGCTTACCCAGCACAACCTTTTTCACTCTTATTGGTTCCAAATATGATACTTTAAAGTTGGTCCCAGATTATGATTAGTTTCAAATTAAACATTTCTTTAGTACCTGCTCCACACTTACTCTTTTAATAGCTGCCTTTGGGAAAGCAGCGCGTCTGTACATCTCATAGCGATTCAGCTGCTCTTCAGAGAACGAGGATACTAAGACTCTGTGGAATAAAAACGAGAAGTTTTGCATCCTAATACAGAATAACACACACAACGGAACAAGGTGTAACATATATCAAATAAAGCTTACTGCATCTTTTGTATTTCATCTTCATCGACTTTCTGCCGTTTCTCCTTCTTCTTGTCATGCTCCACTTTCAGTTTTTTAGCAGGAGGAGGATGAAGTGATGAAGATCCTTCTTCTTCGTCACCAGCTGCAGCAGCAGCATCTTCAGCAGACCTCTAAAGCACAATCAGATCAATCATGAAGAAATACATTTCTATCGGATCATTTCTAGTCTTTGCGATTAACAAACGGACTGACCGCTTTGCCTTGCTCTTTGGCAGAGGTCTGGACAGCAGCGGGTTCAGAGACTTTACCGCTGCTCCCCGGAGCGTCCCCGGTCCCCTCGCCCTGCTTGGGTCTCTCTGCAGGCGCGGGTGCCTCGCTGACCCTCGCGACGGGTTTCACACGGGCCGGGTCTGCCATGCTTTGGCTGACAGATTCATTTCAGATGAGAGTAAGAAACACACTCGCTTAGTTTATGCTCAGCTGACACAAACATAAAAACTCGCACTGTGATGCATACTAGCCCCCACTACTTCATTATCTATTCTATTCTTCACTGTATACAGTTCAGTTGCACTGTACTATAATTCTTGTGTCGACGGGACAAAATCTACTGTATTTGTCCATGGGTGATTGAAGTGTTACATACAGATTAGTGCTGTCAAACGATTAATCGCATCCAAAAAAAAATTTGTCTTTACATAATATATGAGTGTGTACTGTGTATATTTATTATGTATATATAAATTGCACTGTGATGCATACTAGCCCCCACTACTTCATTATCTATTCTATTCTTCACTGTATACAGTTCAGTTGCACTGTACTATAATTCTTGTGTCGACGGGACAAAATCTACTGTATTTGTCCATGGGTGATTGAAGTGTTACATACAGATTAGTGCTGTCAAACGATTAATCGCATCCACAAAAAAAATTTTCTTTACATAATATATGAGTGTGTACTGTGTATATTTATTATGTATATATAAATACACACACATGCATGTATATATTAAAGAAAAATATGTCATGTTTATATATTAAATATATATTCTATGAATATAAATATAAACGTACATATTTTCAATAAATATAAATATATACTGCATGTGTGTGCGTGTCTCTTACACAAAATTGTAAGAGATTGTTATTTAGTTGTTGTTGTTTTTTTACAATTACTAGATGGATGTCAACAGTTTCTATGGTACAAGAACGCGCACTCTTCAGGCCCTCGTATCCAAGACTCGGATGCTGATCTCAGTGATGTTGATGACCCAATAGAGCAGTGGTTCTCAAACCTGTCCTGGAGTACCTCCAGCCCTGCACATTTGGTCTCCCTCATCTATCACACCTGATTCAACTCACCAGCTCATTAGTGGAGACTGCAAGACCTGAAGTGGGTGTGTCAGATAGAGGGAGACATACAAAATGTGCAGTGCTGGGGGTACTTCATGGAGAGGTTTGAGAACCACTGCAATAGAGGATCCGCATTATCACCCCGTCCGAGAAGAGGTAGCTGGTGACCGTTCTTTTGAGTCCCTGGATGAAGATGATGCTCCCTCAACAAGCACATCCTCTACAATGCTTCCATGTAAGAAAAGAAGAAGGTTTCTTTGAAGGAGCCAGAGGATACCTACACTACACAGCATTGCTGGTTTACGAAGAAATGTTAATTTATCTAAAAAAAAAAGAAAGAAAAAATAATCCTGTTGCACTACCACACTTGACGGCGTGTTTCTCGAATCATAAAAGCCTAAAATGCCATTATATTACTATCTTTTGCTATTTTTGTTTTGTTCTGTTTTTGAATGCAGGAAGAATGTAATGTCTTCGGTTTTGTTACTTTTAGTTATTTATTTTTGTTTATTGTTAGAAAACATAAAATGTCCTGTGTTAAAATGAAAACCTGAAATATTTCATGGCATACTTCAATAAATAAAGAAGATTCAATATACAAAACTATTGTATTTTGATTATGTTTTTAAATAAATTAGCATTATAGTTCATATTTTCTGATTTTCATAGTATGTGAATGAATTCCGGTATTTTTACCTTAACGTGACATGTCAACCATTTGGAAGAGGCTTATATTTTAAAAATTATGGGATGTGTTGAAAAAAAATACTTTGAGTGTGGTAACTAGGGACATAAGGAGAAAAGCAATGCAAACAAAAACAATTCAAATGCCTTTTTCTTGGTGGGGCAGTTAAAGGGTTAATGAATGCACTATTATAAATCCATTAAACGACAACAACATTTGATCTAAAGGCATCAAAATCTCTAAATATTATTCCCTGTAATGGACAAGGCTTGTTTTATTTCTAGATTATGCCCGTGTTATTTGTACATACGGAACTGAATCCATATATTCAGATGTTTGATATAATGTAACGTTACTTTAATCGATTAAATGATGTGAAGCTCTTATCCTTGATACCGCGGTTTCATAAAAGATACTGTTGAGATACCGAGTTACTTTGATGTTTCATGTTGCTAAATGTTTGTCATAGTTAAATAACATGTTACTATATTTACTCGCATAACAGGATATTTACACTGTACTAGAAAACCTGGTAATAATCCCGGTAGGTTTACATGAACTGGAAACAACTTGTTAGATAAGAAGCCGCTTATTGTGTAAACAAAGAGTACAGACACGCATAAACACTGACTTTGACTGATAACATACCTCAGGCCGACAGCCGCGTCGAGAACAGTTTATAAAACACGGAAGAATCAAAGCAGCAGACCGCGCGCAGACTCAGTACAAGCGACACGACAACATCCGGCCAATTCCAAAATAAGAGTCCTAACCCACAAACGCATTTCAACCGCAGCTATATATCACTCAAGCAATGGGTGCCGCTGTTTACTACATAATAGCACACAGCGGCTCAGACGGACGAATCATTCAAACGCATTCAGATCCTAGAAACTATTTGCCTTTTTGTATTTGCAGATATTTGTACGATGACCGTTTAATATAAGTATAAATGTGGAAATATATTACTTCCACGGATTCGCTCCTGCTTTATATATATGTATATATATCTTAAAGGCATACACCCAGTCTGATTTGTCGCTGAGATGTGTGATGAACGCCACGTGACACACTGTTTTACTCCAGCAGGGCTTTGAAGAATATCTTTTGCTCCTAAAAAAATAGACATTTTAAAAATGTTCGAAAAGAGCGTTTCAGATAGACCTCTTGTAATATTCATTAAGTAGAAAATACACGCTGAAGACTTCAAATAGAATTATTTAGATTGATTTAATAATGGAAATGCCTCTTTATGCCACTGATGTTATATTTTTATATTTTTCTGTATTAGCTATAGATCATTCATTCCACCCAAATAATCTATTTCTGTGTGTTTCTGTTTTAAGACACTGGATTTTTTGTCCCTGCAACTAATTTATTCACAAATTATATATATATATATATATATATATATATATATAAACACTGCAAGGAAAACTAGCAGAAGGGTTATACACACAACCACCAGCGCATTAAACACACACACACACACATATATATACACACATATATATATATATATACACATATACACACATATATATATACACATATATACATATATATACACACACATATACACATATGTACACATATATACACACATGTACACACATATATATACACATATATACACACACATATATACACACATATACACACACACACATACACACACATATACACACACA